TAAAATGATAAAGCTAATTAAGGCTTGTTTGATTTTAAGTTCTAGTTTTTGAACTACTTTGTAAGCAATTATACTAATAGATGCTTTGCTATCTACAATAGCTTAATAAGGTCTGTTTCTAATTTTAATATTGCACTTGATAGATATAGTAGTTAGTTTAGGAGTGATGGCAAGAGATTTTGCTTCTTGACTTAAATAGACAAAGAGAGAACTTCAGATAGAAGGATTATCTAACAGAGTTTTCTATTTCTTTTGGCTTATAGGTAAAGAGGGTTTAGAGTTCTGATCAAAGTAGTTAACATTATGATGATAAGGAGAAGGTAAATGATGAAAGGATTATCTAGAGTTTTTGGCATAGAAGTAGTAGTTATCTTGTTTTTAGGAATAATTTTAATATCAGAGATAACTATTATAGCTTCTAAATCTATTCCTATCTCTAAAATCTACTTTGATTGAAAGATCAGAAGTAGTTTCTGTCTCAGCTTCTAGATCGATTATTTCTTTGGCTATTATAATAGTCTTGGCTTCTGTCTTATAATCATAATTAATCCTTTAGTTTAGTATGACATTGAGCAATAAAATGTCTGATGTATTTATAATAGTGGCAGATAGATAGTTGTTTAATTCTATTAGCAGTAGTAAAATTTTTAGTATAGTATACTAAGGTAGACATTTTCAACTCTCCTCAACGATCACTCAGACCAAACTTACGGCTAACGAAAACAAAAACTTGTTGGAGAAAAGTAGAAGAGACAACTATAAATAACAGTTTTTACAGAGGTCAAGGATTTCCATATTTCCCTCAGACTCCTCTGTATATTCAGTATGCAAGTTAAAAGTGTTTCTATACAAAATAACTGGCAAGAAGGTGGTGCCTTTGTACAGAAAATTTTAATAGAAGCTCTGCTTCTGCTGACGAAGTTAAAGATAGTTGGTTTAAGAAGAACAACAAGTAAGTTTTCAATACGTTCTTTACTGAAGTTTAAGGCTACCTGCAAACTGAAACCCTCTTTTATATCTCCACTTTTGGTCTTTATAGAATTTCTTCAAAAAGTAGAAAAAACAGCGTACCTCTGTCAAAAGATCGATAACAACAATCGCTGCTAAAAAAAGAAAAACATATACATGTGTATATATCTACTTTTGGTTATAGTATAAAATAATGTGATAATGTTTGAAACATTGCAGAAGACGTATCGACAGGATAGAATAGTATCTAGAAGTTTCGACCCTTGGAGCTCTACTTCAAGACCAGATGGTTTTTAATATTTTTACATTCTGGATATAGATATAAATAACTAGCGTAGAGTTTAGTCTAGGTTATTTTGTAGTACTATATAATTTTTACAATCTCGCACAGGTTTAATAGTGCTATCTTTGTTTTCTTTTCTTTGTTTTTTTTTTCATTATTTGTATTATTTAGTTTTATTGGTTTAGGTGGACCAGAACTTGATGCCGTAATATTTCTCTATTTTTGTTATGCCCTTTATATTTGTGTTTGTTTTCATTTTGTAAAAGGAAAGTTAATTTGGATACGGTGTATAGCACCAGCCCATGACCAAAGAATAATCTCTAATAAGTTAGGGGCCCAGAGAAAGGCTTGAAGTCCACTGAGGCAAGCTTTCTATAGTCTCGTATCTCAAGCTAGGACTTGCTGTCTAGTTAGGTTCACCAAATGACTGAGTTGGTATTATATTGTTGATTAGGGACTTATTTTGGGTTTGCACCGCCTTAACAGATTTGTATCCTTTTATACATCATCTTTTTTCATGAATGTTTTAATCTCCCACTTATCAGCCCAGGTACTACTAATCCGTATCTCAAGCCAAACTCTGCTGCCGCTGCTGGTTTGCCTACCTTAGGACTTAACATTCTTTTTCTGGTATAGTGGTACCAACTAATCCATTTGTACTTCCTCATATGGTGTATTACCAGAACTATATTGCATAGCCACTTTAATGAACTATCTTGTTAAAGACTAGTCTAACACTACGAAATTCCTTAAGTGGCAAACAATTCTACTTCCAACCGTAGGCCTTGCGTCATGTTATTAGAAGGCGTATCCCAATTCACCTTGACTTCTAACTTGATTCTTCATCATTGGTTGGTGTTGCATTATTGTTGATGTATTTTAACTTCTTTCGTCAAAGACTTTCAAATAGATATAACCAGAGCTCTGACTTGGTGCTTTTAAATATACTAGATTAGCTAGTCTGTTTCTATAAAATTACCTTCTTTAAATAGTTGTTCTTCGCTGCCAAAGGTGCTTCTTGTTCAAGTAAGGCCAATCCTTTACCACAGCCCTTTCATATATTCACCACTTCTCTTATCATTCCAGTTTCAATAATATCATATCACTCTCCCAAGCAAGTTCCCAGCACATTTTCAAATTAGGACTAATGCGTACAATACATTGATTATCCTTCCAAGCAAGTACCCCACAAGTTGGATGCGAGAATGTTAGTATTTCCTAATATGGGAGTGAAGAGATATTGGTATTGCCTCTGAGTCACTCCAACCAAAGAACTAACTTGTATGATCTTCTACAACCTAGACCTTCTGTGACACCGCTGTCACACATAATGCCTACACTTTATGATCAGGGCTCTTTCTGAGAATTCCTATTCCTGGACTGTACTTGCACTTGGACTTTTCACAGGGCTCCGCATCTGATTATGGCTTTTTAAGGTTATAGTAGCAAATTTAAAATTTGTCACCAGCCCAACTCGAACCATCAACCTTGTCTGTGGGGGTTTGGGAGCTTAACCAGTAAGCTACAGAGCCCAAACTCTAAAAATTGATTTATTCTGAGTATATAAATACAATCAATAGTATTTTAATTAAAAACTAAACTCATTTTAATATTTTTCTTAAGTTAAAGTATACCAAAACCTAAGTATAATGCTCAGATGCAATCTACTTTGCAATACTTAGCCTTTTCTAGAGATTCAGAAATTACAGTGCCCAACAAAGTTTTCTTGCACCTTTAGTTTTTATAAATTACATACAAGTATGTGAAATTTTATTTATGTATAATACATTATATTTATAAATTGTATTAACTTTCTTTGGACATATTTGATTATAAAAATATCTGCTTCAATTATGTATAAAATCTCAGCCAAAAAATGCTTCTCACTTTATATAAATGATATAAAATCAATTTTTTAAGAGTAGGGGGTATATAGATTATTTGTCATATAATTTTAGTAGTACAATAAGATTTATATAAAAAACAAAAATATGCTACTAATAAAACTTCTTATAGCTATAATTATTTTTAATCAAAATTTTATAATATATAGAACAAAACATCCTTTTTATAATAGCAAAATTTTAATATATAAAATATTTAAAAAAAGAAATATTATATTTATAACACCGTGTTATATATCACACTGTATTCACGTAATTTAGAGTAATATATAAAAACTGGTTGATTATCTATAAATAGTAACTAGAAAATTTTTTTCGCTTTACTGCTTTACAAAGGTGTTGAAGGTGCTGGGCAGTTTTCATATTTAGAAGGTATTGGGTGTTTTTGCTAATTCCAAAGCATTGAGTTGCAGTTCTTGTGTTTATAAAGATACAGGTGGCATTCTTAACCGTAATCAAGACATTAGATGGTTTTTTTTTATTCGTAGTGTTAGTAACTGAATTTCTTTAACAGCTTTTCATGCTTTTACAAAACTTTAGGTGTCTTTTTGCTTTACAAAGGTATTTAGTGTTATTTCTTTTTTTTTTTGCTTCAATCAGGTCTTAGGGAAATGTTAGTTGATTTTTTGTTTCAGAATGTGTAACTAAATTTCTCTAATGGCTTTTACTGTTTTTACAAAAATTCCAGGTATCTTCTCAGTTTATGAAGTTGTTGTGTGGCTCTTTCTTTTGTTACAAGTATCAAGTATTTTTTTCTTTCGTTATAAGTGTCGGAGGTTTTTGTCATTTAATCTGGACTCAGGTAGATTCACACTGAAGTGTTTGGAAGATAATATTTAGTTGAACTTTTTGTTACTAAGATCTTGACTTTGTTTACAAATGTGGCAGGGTTTCTTTCACTGTTACAAAGAGTGCAGGTGGCACTTTTTGTCTTTTGCTTTACAAAGATGTTCGTAGCTCTTTTTTTTGTTACAAGTGTCTGGTGGTTCTTTTTGCTATTACAAGTGTGGGTAGTTCTTGTCACTTTAATTTGGTCTTAGGTAGTTTTGCATTGAGTACTTTGATAATAGTAACTAATTGAACTTCTTGTTAATAGGATCTTTTTGTATGAAGATAGCAGGTTCCTTTCACTGTTACAAAGGTATCAAATAGCAATTTTCGTCTTATAAAGGTGCTAAGTGGCTTTTACATCAGAGGTCTTTTTTTTGCCTTTATAAAGATATTAAATAGTTCTTTAATTAAGATGCCAGGTAGTATTTTTTTTTTTGCCTTTATGAATATGTGATAAAATATTCTATTGAATTTTTTTATTGATTGATTTTGCTTTTTTTGTTTTCTAAAAGTAGAACATTTTTTATAAAAGCGCTAGTGGCTTTGTTACTTTAATCAAAATCTTGAGTAGCATTTTTTATACCTTTATAAAAGTATTGGTATAATTGAGTCTCAAGTGATTTTTTTAATTAAGCCATTCAGTGATTTTTTTATTTGAGGTGTCAGGTAGCTTTTGTTGCAGTAATAGTGGTATGAACATTATAGTATTACATTCATAAATTTAAGAACATTTCTGAATACTAATTTACTTGTATTGTGTCAATTATTTTTTCTCTCAGTCTTTTAATAGCCTTTTTGTTCTTTATTTGAGTTGTCTTATTTTTCGATTATTGCTTTTAACGTTCCTTCTGTTTGATTTTGAATAATAATGGCTTATAGAACTTACCTCTGATTCAAGACAATCTATGAGGTATCAAACATTAGATTGGAACCTTTCTCTTCAAAAATTATTAGATTCTGTTTATGAATCAATAAAATTCTCTCAAAAAGTAATGGAATTCTCCTAAGAAGTAATGGAATTCTCCCAAGAAGTAATAGACTTCTCTCAAGAAATAGTGAATTTACTTCAAGAATTAATGGACTTCTCTCAAGAGTCAGTAGAAATATTATATGATGAAATCCATAAGGGACAAGATTTGGTTTGAATTAATAGCCTGTTGCTTCACATTAACAAAACAATTATATTTTCTATTAGTGATACCTTTCCTAACTAGCCAATTGCAGAATATTATGTTTCCTAATATAGCTGACAAAAAGGATTTGTAGCAATTAAAATACACAATAAAACTAATAATAATGGACGTTTAACGAATTTGTATTATAAATATGAATTCGGTGGGATGTATTAATCAAAAAAAACTAACGACCTGCAAAACCAACATAATAAAGGTTCTAAGAAACTTAATTGTAATTGAAAAATTAATTTGTCAACTGCAACTGGTGTAGTTTGTATTACTAGTTTTAATGATCACCATGTTGAGCATCAACTTTCATTGGATATCAACATTTTTGCCTCTGTAAATTGCTGGTTTACTGATGATTGTCATGAAGAAATTCGTCATTTGGTAGTAAATGATTGGTGTGACCTGATGACAATACAGTCTCTTTTATCTGCTAAATACCCTGATCAGCTTTTTTTAACACAAGATTTGGCTAATGTTGTGGCTCAATTCCAACATGAATATCAGATGAAGGGAAGTCAGCTTTTAAAAAAGCTTTATGAATATAAAAAAAAAAACTCAAAGTGGTATATTGAATCCTTAATCGATCCTATTAGTAATCGACTTCGTGGAGTTTTCTGAATAGATCTGGGTCATGAGAAAGATGGATTCAGTTTTGTGATATAATAGTTCAGGATAATATAGCTCAAACAAATTACTATAATTTTTCCTTGTGCCTTTTTGTTTTAATTGATGTTGCGGCTGAAGCTTGAAATGGCTGAAGCTTGAAATTAGGGACCTTGATTTAAAAATATAAACTCTACCAAAATCTACTTATATTCTTTTATTATAAAAACTAATCCTAAAACCTAATCTAACTATTAAAAGAAGGTTAAAAAAATGCACCCCAAAAATTTCTAAAAATTTCATATTAAAATAATTAAAATTTCAAGCTTCAGCCGTTTCAAGCTTCAGCTGCGACAATTGATAATCATAATAAAACCCAAATTGCAGCACAAGCTTTAATGCCTGATGAAACTATTGAATCTTTTCGTTGAGTTATTAGACAATTAAAAAAAGCAACTGGAATTCCACCAAGAATTTTAATGACAGATGAAGATCTCTCTATGAAATATGCTGTAGCTCATGATCTTTTAGATACAAAGCATCTGTTTTGTTTATACCATTTAAGTCAAATATTTTAAAAAATCTTCAAAGTAAGCTTGGTGAACAGTATGAAGATTTTATTAAAGATTTTTATTTGGTATGCAATAGTTTGAGTAAAAGTGTATTTGAATCATAATTTACAACCCTTTTGGATAAATATCCAATTGCATCCCAGTATTTACAAAAGTTATTGTTAAATAAAGAATCATAGGCATATGCTTATACATTAAAAAGTTTTACTGGTGGATTGCAATCGACTCAAAGAATTGAAGGGCTGAATAATCTTATTAAAACTGCAATGAATAGTTCATCAACATTATTACAAGTAAAGGAAGCAATATGTCAACACATTGAGCATAAAAATCTCAATCAATATTTTAATTTGTGGACTCAAGATCAAATTAATTATAATGATAACATTGTTTTACAGTCTGTTTTTCTACAAATTGTTAAACAAATAAATAAATATTTAATGCCAAATTTGGCATCTGAGTAACAAAAGCAGATAGTTCAATCGACTATATATTGAGCTCAAATATTAGATGTATATATAGTAATATTTAAGGTTATTTTTTTTATACTTATCAAAGAAGACACTGGATGGTGTACCTTAGGGTTATTTGCTGTAATTAACTATATAGTTCTATTTTACAGTCATGGGATTTGGATCATTTATTAAATTTACAAGAAGCTTCATATGACAATGATTTTATTGAGAATATGTATGATATTTCATATTTATACTTGTTAGCTTTAATTAAAGATAATGAATATGCATCCGTCAAAGAAGTTTAGAAGATTATATATTTAATTTCAGCCAAGTCTGTCTATTATGTTATACTATATAACAATGGCCATTATTTATGTACTTGCCTTTTATCAGTTAGCCATGGGCTTGTATGCCAGCATTTTTTTTGTATATTACTTGAATCGAATTTTGCGAAATTTCATATAATGTTACTGCCTATTCGATGATACAAGGATAATATAACAGAATCTGAACGTACTCAAGAACTATTTTTATCATCTAATCAAAATGTTGAATTAATACCAATTATACATCAATTAAGTAATGAAACAAATATGAACTTACTTAGAATTGATAATGTTTAGGAAAATAACTTTCAAAAATCCATAAATAAAAGGCTTCAGTATAACAAATCAATGAGCCTTACAAAACAAGCTATTATACTACAAGGCGATAGTGAAGATGATAATGAGCTAGATACTTTCTTAAAAAATTACATTAAGAAAAAAACTCATTAATATAAAAAAGAAACTAAAGAAAGAAAATTAGAACTCTTAGAGAGAATCATAGCTTAGAAAACATTTTAGCTGTAAAAACTGATAATAGACAACTAATTTCTATTAATAACGTCACTAATTCTTTACGCTATATTGGAAAAGGGGCTCCTTGTAAGAAATGTTTTAAAAGTGCACAAGAAAACAACCAATCAACAAAGAAGGTTAAATAAGTACAAACATAAGACTTTGTAGATTTTGTCATGAACTGAATCACTATCAAAGCACGTATTTACAAAAAAAGTCTAATCCAGAAAAGTAATAGTAGGTATATATATATATACATATATATTGTTAGAAGGGTTTTAAATTTCATATGTTAATAAAAAAAAAACGAAATTTTTGCCAAAAAAAAATTCAGGTTTTTTTAGTGATACTATGCTTTGTTATATAAATATTATTGAGGCTATTTTTTAATTGGGGTTAGGATTAGGTGGGTATTAACAATGTTCTTTTTTTATTTTTTTATTTTTTATTTTTTTTGAATTCGCACAACTATTATTTCGTATAAATTTACTTATTTAATTTATTTAA